TTACTAATAACTGCATTGTTTCTTTCCACGTACAAGAAGGTTGACTGAAAAAATCTTGAATCATTAATTTCAACTCTTCTTAGGAGGATTGTTTCTTTCCACTACAAAGGATGGCTGAAAATTCTGTTAAATATGAAGGAGTGATGTAAATATTTTCAATTTTCAATTCTTACTAATAACTGCATTGTTTCTTTTTCACGTACGAAGGTTGACTGAAAAGTTCATAGGCTAACTATGAAGGAGTGATGTTAAGCTGTTAAATACTGAATGTATTATTTTCTACAATTCTTACTAATAACTGCATTGTTTCTTTCCACTACAAAGGTTGACTGAAAAGTTCATAGGCTGACTATGAAGGAGTGACGTTAAAACTGTAAATATCTTGATGTATTATTTTCAACTCTTCTTACTAATAACTGCATTTTTCTTTCCAGCTACAAGGTTGACTGAAAAGTTCATAGGCTGACTATGAAGGAGTGATGTTAGAACTGTGAAATCTTGAATGCATTAATTTCAACTCTTCTTACTAATAACTGCTTTCTTTTCCAGCTGACAAGTGGCTGAACTATGAAGGAGGACTCTTCTTACTGACGCAAAAGCTGTTAAATACTATTAGAATGTATTATTTTCAACAATTCTTACTAATAACTGCATTATTTCTTTCCACGTACAAGGTTGACTGAAAAGTTCATAGGCTAACTAAGGAGGAGGAATGACGTTAAAGCTGTTAAATACTATATGTATTATTTTCAACAATTCTTACTAATAACTGCATTGTTTCTTTCCAGCTACGAAGGATTGGCTGAAAGTTCATAGGCTAACTATGGAGGAGTGATGTTAAAACTGTTAAATACTATATGCATTATTTTCAACAATTCTTACTAATAACTGCATTATTTCTTTCCAGCTACGAAGGTTGACTGAAAAGTTCATAGGCTAACTAAGGAGGAGTGACGCAAAAGCTAATTTCAACTCTTCTTAAATACTATATTGTATTATTTTCAACAATTCTTACTAATAATTTCTGCATTGTTTCTTTCCAGCTACGAAGGTTGACTGAAAAGTTCATAGGCTAACTATGAAGGAGTGACATTAAAAATGTTAAATACTATATGTATTATTTTCAACAATTCTTACTAATAACTGCATTGTTTCTTTTCCAGCTACGAAGGTTGGCTGAAAAATTCATAGGCTAACTATGAAGGATTGATGTGACATGAAATCTGTTAAATTTCACTCTTCTTATATGTATTGTTTTTTCAACAATTCTTACTAATAACTGCATTATTTAATTTCTCTTCTTACGAAGGTTGTTTCTTTTTCAACAAGGATCATAAAAATTAAACTAAGGAGGAGTGACGTTAAAACTGTTAAATACTATATGTATTAATTTTAACAATTCTTACTAATAACTGCATTGTTTCTTTCCAGCTACAAAGGTTGACTGAAAAGTTCATAGGCTCACTATGGAGGAGTGACGCAAAAGCTTTAAATCTTGAATGCATTATTTTCAACAATTCTTACTAATAACTGCATTATTTCTTTCCACTACAAGGATGACTGAAAAGTTCATAGGCTGAACTAAGGAGGAGTGACGTTAAAGCTGTTAAATACTTGATGTATTATTTTCAACTCTTCTTACTAATAACTGCATTGTTTCTTTCCACGTACGAAGGTTGGCTGAAAAGTTCATAGGCTGACTATGAAGGAGGAACTGTGACGCAAAACTGTTAAATACTGATTGTGTATTATTTTCAACTCTTACTAATAACTGCATTATTTCTTTCCACGTACAAGGTTGGCTGAAAAGTTCATAGGCTAACTAAGGAGGGTGATAAAGCTGTTAAAACTACTTTATTATTTTCAACAATTCTTACTAATAACTGCATTGTTTCTTTCCACGTACGAAGGTTGACTGAAAAAAGTTCATAGGCTAACTAAGGAGGTGACGTTAAACTGTTAAATACTATGTATTATTTTCAACAATTCTTACTAATAACTGCATTATTTCTTTCCACGTACGAAGGTTGGCTGAAAAGTTCATAGGCTAACTAAGGAGGTTGACGCAAAAGCTGTTAAATACTATACATTATTTTCAACAATTCTTACTAATAACTGCATTGTTTCTTTCCAGGAAGGGTGACTGAAAAGTTCATAGGCTAACTAAGGAGGATGTAAATAAGCTGTTAAATACTATATATTATTTCAACAATTCTTACTAATAACTGCATTATTTCTTTCCACGTACGAAGGTTGACTGAAAATTCATAGGCTAACTAAGGAGGGTGACAAAAGCTGTTAAATACTATATGTATTATTTTCAACAATTCTTACTAATAACTGCATTATTTCTTTCCACGTACGAAGGTTGACTGAAAAGTTCATAGGCTAACTAAGGAGGAGTGACGCAAAAGCTGTTAAATACTATATGTATTATTTTCAACAATTACTAATAACTGCATTATTTCTTTCCACGTACGAAGGTTGACTATGAAAAGTTCATAGGCTAACTAAGGAGGTGACGCAAAAAGCTGTTAAATACTATATATATTATTTTCAACAATTCTTACTAATAACTGCATTGTTTCTTTCCACGTACGAAGGTTGACTGAAAAAGTTCATAGGCTAACTAAGGAGGTAACAAAAGCTGTTAAATACTATATGTATTATTTTCAACAATTCTTACTAATAACTGCATTATTTCTTTCCACGTACGAAGGTTGACTGAAAAGTTCATAGGCTAACTAAGGAGGAGTGACGCAAAAGCTGTTAAATACTATATGTATTATTTTCAACAATTCTTACTAATAACTGCATTGTTTCCACGTACGAAGGTTGACTGAAAAGTTCATAGGCTAACTAAGGAGGAGTGACGCAAAAGCTGTTAAATACTATATGTATTATTTTCAACAATTCTTACTAATAACTGCATTATTTCTTTCCACGTACGAAGGTTGACTGAAAAGTTCATAGGCTAACTAAGGAGGAGTGACATAAAAGCTGTTAAATACTATATGTATTATTTTCAACAATTCTTACTAATAACTGCATTATTTCTTTCCACGTACGAAGGTTGACTGAAAAGTTCATAGGCTAACTAAGGAGGAGTGACATAAAAAGCTGTTAAATACTATATGTATTATTTTCAACAATTCTTACTAATAACTGCATTATTTCTTTCCACGTACGAAGGTTGACTGAAAAGTTCATAGGCTAACTAAGGAGGTGACGCAAAAGCTGTTAAATACTATATTATTTTCAACAATTACTAATAACTGCATTATTTCTTTCCACGTACGAAGGTTGACTGAAAAGTTCATAGGCTAACTAAGGAGGAGTGACGCAAAAGCTGTTAAATACTATATGTATTATTTTCAACAATTCTTACTAATAACTGCATTGTTTCTTTCCACGTACGAAGGTTGACTGAAAAGTTCATAGGCTAACTAAGGAGGAGTGACGCAAAAGCTGTTAAATACTATATGTATTATTTTCAACAATTCTTACTAATAACTGCATTGTCTCTTTCCATGAAAAAACTGAAAAATTGATAATCTGATTATGAAGGATTGATGCTGTTGCTCTGAAATTTGCACGCATTCATTGCCAATTTTCTTATTAATAACTGCATGCGTTTCTCGCAGATACTAGAGAGGCCTGCAAATTTCATAGGCTGACTATGAAAGGGTGATGTTATATTTGTGAAATATTGCATGCATTAATTTCGATACTTCATTAATAACTTAATTGTTTCTTTCCAGTTATCCGGGTGGGCTGAAAGTTCCTAGGCTTGATATGAAGGTGCTGAAAATTTCATAGACTGATCCTAAAGAGTGATGCTATAGATATGGAATCATAAATGCATTAATTCAAACTCTTCTGGTTATTAACTGCATTGTTTCTTTTAAATCTACGAGGGTGGGCTGAAATGTTCATAGGCTGATTCTAAAGAGTGATGCTATAGATGTGGAATCTTAAATGCATTAATTAAATCTCTTCTGATTATTAACTGCATTGTTTCTTTCAATCTACCATGGTGGGCTGAAAAGTTCATATGCTGATTATGAAGGAATTATGCAGTAGTTGTGAAATCTTGCACACATTAATTTAATCTCTTCTTATAATTATCTTTTTTGTTTCTTTTTTGAAAAAGACTTGCAGTGCTTTATGCATTCTGCTGAAAATTAATCTGGGCTCGATGAATTACTATATATATATATATATATATATATATATATATATATATATATATATTACGATAAACGTGCAATCAATTTACAAATTCATGAATTATTCACACAAAAACAAAAGCAAAGGTTAATGATTTCTCGCCAATTAAATCATTAACCTTTGCTTTTTGTTTTTAAGGGAATTTATATATATATATATATATATATATATATATATATATATATATATATATATATATATAAAATTTTTTATCTCATACAAATATACGTGTATATATATATATATAAAATAGCTAAACAAATGTCATCCAATGTTCGTTGTTGTTTTTTTTCTGCTGAAATTCGGATTATTTTTCAAACTCGGCCTATGTTTCGATCTGCGTGTAAAGACGTTCTCCCTCCTCATCAAATTAATTCAATTATTTACAAATACGTTTGTAGTTGCGGAGCCGACTACATAGGGAGAACAACTCAGCGCTTAGACATTAGAATAAAACAGCACGTTCCTAGTAAAATTAGAAATCATACCCTGCCTTTGAATGGACTCGTCCCGAACACCTATAGTTCCGCCATATGCGAACACCTATTAAAGAACAGAAATTGTGCAGCCAAATTTAGTGTTGACTGGTTCACCGTGTTGGATTGCTCTTCTAGGTATTTACTAGTACTTACAGTGTTGTTTTGTGGGGTACGCCAGTAGACGTTTTGTGCGTAGAACTACCAGTTTCAAAGTAAGTCGGGCATTGTCTTTTCTTTTGTATTTGTTGGACTGTTTCAACTGTTTGTTTTTGTGGGGAATACCCTCCGGCTATGGCGGAGGTGACCCAGGAAAAAGAGCCTTTGACCAGTACATCTATTGCACCATCTGCTTGGGTGCCGGAAAGGCCGGAAAAAGGGCCAGACTATTATAGGAGTCGTCGTGAAGAGTTGAAAGAGTTCATTGCGAAAGATGAACTTGTACCAATGCCTTCGGTCATGGAGACTGGCAACAAGGACAATCTCCCTATTGACGGTCGATATTAAGACCAGGAAATTCATACCGGTCAATAGGGAGCCGATGGAAGAAGCCCTAAAGGCTTTGAACATCGGGGCCAAGCTCTTGGCACGCAGATCAAACGCGTACTGGTACATTTTGTTGGCAACGGAGGAAGCTGCAAAGGCGCTGGCCGGATGCACCCTCACCACGAAAACGATGAGACTGCAAACGGATTACATGGGAACTCGGAAAACAAGGATTATTTCATACGATATGCCTATGTACATTGCCGAAGACCAGGTGGGGGCCTTCTTTTCTGACTACAGGAGGAGGGGGTATCGTCCATCAGGAGTAAGGCGGGGATCGCCACCGGTGATATGGAGATCACGGTGACATTGAACCGCCAAAGCTTTAAGGATGTACCCAACACAATTTTGTGTGGTAACCGAAGCATTTTTGTGGTGGTTGAGGGTCGCCGGCCCTTCTGTTGGGTTTGTGGTGCGGCAGGACACCTGGCCAAGACGTGTCCAACCAAGAAGCCAGCACCGTCGGCGAAGCAGGCACCGGTACCAACATCAGTGGTGCCCAGAGAAGAATCAACGAAGAAAGCTTCCGGTAGCGAATGGACGGAAGTGGTGAGAAGGAGAGCAAAAGTGGCAACCTCACCTCTCCAGCAGCAGCAGCAGCTCCCGGAGAAGGCTGCAGTCAGCCAGCAGCAGGAGCAGAACGCTGATACAAAGAAGCAGCAGGAGCAGGCGGCTACGGAACAACTGCAGGACGTCCCGGATAAGGAGGGAGAAAAACAACAGCAGGAACGGGTGGCCGTCAAACAACATCAGCAGAAGTCGGATGGCCCCAGTAAAGGGGCTGCTAAACGAAAGCAGCTGAAGCAGCAGCAGCAGGTGCAGCAGCGGCGGGAGCAGTAGCAAAAGTTGCGGGATCAGCAGCGAGAACAGCAGCAGCAGCAGCAACCGGCGCAGCAGGAACAGCAGCAGCAACAGCAGCAGCTGTCTGAGAAAGAGGTCCAACCGGAACAAGTGGACCCAGGTATGGAGGTGGAGGAGGTGCCTCCACCTAGATCTTCGTCATTGAAGAGAGGAAGGGGTGAGGACGAAGAGGAGGAAGAGGACTTTATAAATAATACAAAGAAGGAAAGGAGAGCAAGGCGGAGAAGGTATTTTCCGCGCCGGCATCACCAGACAGAACGGCAAAAGATCGTCAACAAGGTAAGACGAGAAGCCAGTACTCTTCCCCTACTAGGGTTCCGTCTTCCCCCTCTCCCTCCCCCAACCAATCCAAAGACAAAAAGAAGAGGCATTGGTCCAGAGGGGAGAAAATTTGTGTGGTGGACCGCGTGCGTCTCGAGAGGGACCTTTCCTCCCAGAGGAAGGCGCTCTTGAGGCCTCTTTTCAAGTGCACCTCTGTTGATGGCAAATCAACAGAGGATCCAAGGAACTTTCCTGGCGCCCCCGGTGTTATTACATTGATCAGGAATACCGAGGGTAAACTTAAACCGGAGCTTAAAAAATTGGCGCAGTATTGCGCAGGGAGGGCCCCAGTTCTTCTCCATCCTTCACTTTATAGTGTGGTAAAATTAACTTTCCCCACAGACGTTGGCGGTATTGTCACAGAAGGAGGAATTACGTCCGATGTAGGTACCGGGAGTCTGGGACAATCCGTCGGGGTCTTGACACGCGTAGATTTCCGGTCAGTCTGTGTTGAAGGGAACTAGGCTTAAATCATGTCTATTAAGCTAGCCAGTTTGAATGTGAGGGGCCTGAGAGATCGAGGTAAGGCGGCCCGCCTGCTCTGTGATTTCAGGTCCTTCGGAGTGGATGTGGCTGCGATCCAGGAGACACACTTTGTTTGCGAAACTGATGCTCGTGTGTTGTCTAGCGACTTCGTCGTCTATTCAGCATATGGGGACCAGCAGGCCAGAGGTGTTTCCTTGATGGTTAAACGTTCCCTGGGGGCGAGGGTAGACCTTGTTCATGTGGGCGCGTGGGGGGGGGCGTTTGATCGTGGCTGATATTGCCGTGAGCAGTGGTGCGTTTCGGGTCGTTGCGGTGTATGCGCCCAATGACCAGAGTGAGTGCGTCGACTTTTTCCGCCAGTTGGGACAGTTCCTGGTTGATTCTTCGCGCTTAGTCTTAATGGGGGACTGGAATGCCGTCCTGGACCCCAAGATAGATAGGGGGCGGGGAGCTAGCGGGAAGAGGGAGATGTGGACGTGGGCTCATAGTTGGCCGTCTCTCCAGGTAGCCAGCTACCTGGACAGAATGTTAGTGAGAAGAGTCGATCTAGATTTACTAGACTATTCAGATAACAGACTCGTCTGTGCCTGGATGGTGTTAGGTACTAGGCCTAGAATGGCTGGACACTGGAAGTTCAATCTGTCCTTACTGGACAGGCGGGACTTTCAGCAACAGCTAACTAGAGTAGTGCAGCGGGAATTAGTGGGGGCGGTTATTGGGAGTAAGTGGTGGGAGAGGCTTAAGGATAGGATTAGGTCCTTCTCCACTGAATTTAGCCAACGATTCGCCCTACATAAGGCTGAAAAGGTGAAGACTTTAGAGGATAGTCTTTCCCGGGTGGTGGCTGGGGGGATTCCCTAGAGATAGCCATAGCTAGGCAGGCCCTGAAGCGTGAGGCTAGCAAGCGCTATCAGGGTCAGGGTCAGGTAGTTAGACATAGGTTAAACAAGATGTCTAACGAGGCCGTGAACATGGGTGCAGAATTGCGCAAAGAAGAGATCCGTCGAGGTTCCGGAGGGGCGTGCTCTGAGGTCGACCAAGGATATGTGCGAGACGTTTCGGTGGCATTTCGAGAGCCGTTTTACCAAGGAGCCTGGTCTCAGTGGCGACGAGTTTCGTAACTATTTGGCTGACTTTCCTCGGCTCTCGCCGACTGAAGCAGCTAGCTGCGAGGGTGAGATCACAGAGGGCGAAATCTACTTAGCCGGCAAGTCGCCGGGACTTGATGGTCTGCCCTACGAAATGTACTTGAGGCTGTCGCACATCTTTGTCCCGATTTTGACAGTGGTGTTCAACAACTGGTTCCGTCAGGGGTCCATCCCCCAACCGGATTTCCAGGGGGGTGATCACGCTGTTGAAAAAGGGCAAGGATGTTGGGCGGGATTTAGATGATTACAGGCCCATAACTCTGCTAAACGCAGAGTTAAAGATTTTGGCCAAGATCCTGCAGGAGCGTTTGCAGTCAGTTGTCGCGAGCTTGTTAGGACCTGAGCAGACTTGTGCTGTGAGGGGATGAACAATTCAAAGCAGACTGCATCTGATCCGCACGATCATAGAGGTAGTAAAAGACGACAAGCAGGACGCGCTGATCAATTTGGATCAGTCCAAGGCATTTGACAGGGTCGACCACGAGTACCTGGCGGCTGTCCTGCAGGCCGCTGGATTCGAACCCGACTTCTGCAGGTGGATTGGCCTCCTGTAACGCTCCCCCAGTGCTGTGGTGCAGGTGAACGGAAGGCGGTCGAGCGCTTTTGCGCTGACTCGGTCGGTACGACGTGGGTGCCCGCTGTCGCCCTTACTTTACGCTTTGGCGCTGGAATTGCCGTTTTCCCTGGTAGAGCTCGAGCCAGGGATTCTGCGTACACCGATGACGTATCCATCTTTGTGTCGTGCCGCAGCGACATAAAGTGGTGCAGAAGGCGCTTGAACGGTACGAGAAGGTGACAGGGGCCAAGATTAACAGCAATAAGGCTTCCGGCTTGCAGTTAGGTACCTGGAAGCGGGTCGCGCTTCCGGGGCCCTTCGGTTGGACGGATGGACCTGTCCGCATCCTTCGGGCCCGGACTCCAACTGGAGAAGAATTGGTCAGAAATAAAGGCAAAGGTCGGAGCGTCGGTCCGGACTTGGCGTCGAAGGAGGTTGTCCTTAAAAGGTAGGGCCTAGGCGTGTGCCACTTACGTCTTGCCCCTTATCCTTTACCGCTTGGCTGTACTTCCTCTTTGCAGGAAACGTATGGAGGCGATCGAGCGCTTGTTGGCCGACCTCTTGTGGGACGGTCGCAAGCAGTGGGTCCGCAAAGAAGCCTGTTGTCAGCGTCCGTGTCATGGGGGGCTGGGACGGCCATACCTGAAAAGTCATCGTCATGCCTCGAGGTTGGCCTTCCTACGCCGCGTTTTGACGGAGGACTCGATATTGGCGCCGAGTGTTATGGATGCTTTCCCTCGCCTTACCATCACTCCCCCCATTTCTTTGGGAAACGCCGTGGCGGTCGGGGAAGGTTGTCGAAGTTCCTCAGCGAGTATCGGTCGGCCTTGAAGGTCATTCCTCGGTCCAGTGATCTTTCTCGGCGTCGGAGACTATTGTATCATGAGTTCGTGGAGGGGGTCGCAAAGGATCCTCTGGCTGACCGGCTCGGCTTGTCGGCATCAGAGTTGCGCTCTTTCTGGTCTTGGGCGCCAGCGGCGGATTATCTCACCAACCCTGAGTTTTCGCTTAGCTGGCGATTGATTCGGAATGTGCTACCTCTCAATGACATTCTCTTCAAGATGGGCGAGGCATATTTGCCAGATTGTTACCGGTGTGACCTTGGTTTAGAGGAAACGGCTTCGCACGCCTTCTATCATTGTCCTCGAGTGCGCCCTTTCTGGGATTATGTCGGCGAGTTGACGGCTCGTATCGCTCCCGAGCAGCTCGTGTTCATTGATCTCGCGTACGTGTGTGACAATGAGTCGCCCCCGTACTCCGGGGTAAAACAGATGGTGTTTTTACGTTGCTAGCCGTGGCTAGAATGGTCGTGTGGATGTCGCGAAAAGATGGAATCTTGCGAAATGATCGTTTTTCGTATCAGGAGATGATTTTGTTCTTTAAGCATCAGCTTAGGGTGAAAATCAGATCGGATCGAAAGCGTTTGATTTTGACAGATTTCAGCGAAAGGTGGGTAACTATTGCGAGCCTGGTTCGTGTGGACGGGGCTAGCCTTGATTTTCTTTTTTAAGTCCCCTTAGTGCAACGGGGCGGTTTCCTATGGACCCCATCCTGGTTAAGGTAATCCCTATTTTGTGTTCCTAGTTACTGTGAATAAGTGTTGTTCCTGGCCTGTGCCCGGCTTTTCTTTTGTTATGGCATACGTCGAGATTCCCAACCTCCCCAGTTTGTTTTTGTCCCCACTTTTCATCTCGGCAGAGTCAGCTTTTGATTTCCCCATTCCGTCATTTATTTTTCCCCTCCCCATTCCATTAGTGAGTGTGCTTCTTGATTTTGTCTATTGACAGAATACAGCGGCCACTCTCATGATTTTTGAGGGGTAGACGGGTCCTACTAACATTATTTTGGTTTTGCTTTGTTTTCGGTTGATATTTTGATTTTATTATTGAATTTCATAGCCCTTACCCATCATTTTGTGTTTCATTGAATTTTTATGGATATATATATATATATATATATATATATATATATATATATATATATATATGAACATTAAAATTTTTAGTTCATGGGGTGTTTGGTAGGTCCCCTGTGTATATGAGGTATGGATGAGTTTTTGTGGTGAATGTGTAATTGTAATGAATGAATGGGTCGCGATTGTGGTTAACTAGGAATAGGATAGCTAGTGAAAGACCAACCTTTCCCCACGCCCCCCTTCGGCCTTGTGCCACAATTTTGTATTATTTACAAAATAAATAAAGACTGGTTCACCGTGTTGTCCCGGTCTCACTCCTTATTTCATCTAAAGGTTCTGAAGGCATTTTACATCGGGTCCCGCAAGCCTTCTTTGGGCAAACAACGTGAGTGTTTGTTGGGGCTCGCTGTCATTTGTCTCTAGTTCCTTTTGCATATTTTTTTTTCACAACTTCCTTTTTTTGTACATTCTTCTGTATTTAATTTTAAATTAAATCTCCCGTTGAAGCCTGAAGAGCGGGAGCGAAACCGGTTGCTTCGCCCGTTTTTTTTTTTAATATGTCTCGTAATATTAAGTTTTATACTTTTATTTCGATCATTAAATTTTGTACGTACAAAATATCTTTAAATATATATATATATATATATATATATATATATATATATATATATATATATATATATATATATATATATATACGCGTATTTGTATGAGATAGAAAACGTTTTCTAGCTCATACAAATAAATATATATATACGCATATTTGTATGAGATAGAAAACGTTTAACATATTTTACTTTTATTAAAGGAGAAAAACGAAGAAAGAAATTCTGGTATTTTTACAATTCTGTTGTTTTATTTTCATTGGTTAATCATAATTCGCGTGTATTCGACTTGTTAAAGAAACATTCTCATAATTTATGGCGTTCTGAATTTAAGGAGAGACGAGGCATCCTTTCGAAATTTCAACAGCCTAAAAACCTTAAATATAGCTTTATGTATAAGTCTATAATGATTCTATTTTGTCTATGTAGGTTTAAGACGATAATATATATTCGGAAGTGTGTGTAGTAGTAGTAGTAGTAGTAGACATTATGTTTAGACAAACACTTACGAATATACCCGCTATTTGTAAGAAAATAACTTGCGATTCGAGTCTTCGTTGATTTGCTCTTTCGCAAAGAAATTTGTTTAAATTTATCCACATTTGCTTATCCCTCCTTCAAAACATTCAACTAATAATACATTTGCTCACCTGTTAATCTTTTTTCTTACAAGCTCTTTGTCTCTTTCCATAGAAAAGCCTATTGGCTAACCAAGATATAAATGTAAACAGACTCATCAGTTGGATAAGACATGTATGTCTGCCAGAATACAATAGCTGGTCGACCTCCTGTTGCATTCTCGTACACTTGCATATCTTTTATTCTACTAGCTGGTGTGTATACTTACATTTATATCTCGTATAGCAAATTACTGAGCGAATGTGGCACAAGGCCGATATTATGGAGCAACGAGTGAGGATCAATCTCACTATTCAGTCATAATTGATCAAGCGAAATAAGCTTATTAAATATTACACTACATCGAAGAGCCCAAGCATATCCGCGTATTTTATTTGCATAATTCTGTTTATACGTATGTAAGAATAATCTATTTTAAATGCATTAAAATAGATTTTAACCTTTTCTTCTTCTTCTTCTTCTTCTTCTTCTTCTTCTTCTTCTTCTCCTCCTCCTCCTCCTCCCCTCCTCTCCTCCTCTTCTTCTTCTTGTGTCCTTTCTAGATGTGTCCGATCATGGCACTCCAAAACTTCCTATCTCCTGTAGCCCAGAGCAACGTTAGTCCATTGGTCAAACCTGCACTCCGTTCCTCCAACTATTCAGACAAACTCGTTAGATGGGTGGCCACTAGCCTTCTCACTGGCTTAAACCTGGCGGAGTTCATCCCTTTTCCAGGTCAAACCAAAGCCGATATCAGCTAACTTGAGGGTTATCTTTGGTCACGGACACGTGGCCGTTGATTCCATAGCGGGAAGCCTCTACCCTAGCCGTTGGCTTCAGTTTAAGAAGCCCTCCGCCCATAGATATCGTATCATCAGTTCGTTCCATTTTGCTAGACGACCGCTGAGCCTACATGAAGTTCCATCTGAACTTTAACAGGTCTATTAATCCTTCTGTTGATCGAGCCACTCTTTTCACTAGTAAAGCCTGGTGATTGAACGGGTTTAGCAATCGATGACTCGAGATAGGTAGTACTGGATAACATGATATCAGTAGAACTCAGTATTATATATATATATATATATATATATATATATATAATAAACAGTCTTAAACACTAATATTCCAAGGTCATAATTTATTCCATTGGAATCGTATATACGATTATATATATATATATATATATATATATATATATATATATATATATATATATATATATATATATATATATGAATTATTCATACAAAAACAAATATAAAGGTTAATGATTTAAATGGCGAGAATACATCTTCGCAAACAATTTCAATAAGGTACACTAACCCCGAACCTGTATATGAATGATATGATCCCTGTTTATAAATTCTAGTTGCATAAGGTCTTTTTTAGATTTTACAAGCTTTCGTCTGTTCCTACAGACATCCTCAGGTATAGAAATAGATTTGTTCTTGTTTTTTATTTCTCATAATAATAATAATAATATATATATATATATATAATATATATATATATATATATATATATGTATATTTTGAATAATAAAAAATATTAAAAAATTAAAATCTTTAGACATACTGGGTTGTATATTAATATTTTTTCGTTTTGATTATTTCACTTAGATTCCTCGACTAGTTTCGGCCAACGTGGCCATCATCAGGAGAAAAAATTGCTTGTTAGCAGTGAACTACAGAAATAAATGAATTGATGGAGAAAATGAACTGTGTGTAGTTTTCATTTGGTTTTTTGATTTTTTTAGCATGAATTTTGGTCAGTCCTTGTGTTGGTCAAACAGTATCTTTTAAGTTGTTATTTAAGACAAGAGCTGGATGAATTCATGCTGCTCTGATTTCCCTTGTTCATTTTGGCAGTTTCATTGGTTCCTGGAAGTTATATATATATATATATATATATATATATATATATATATAGGCAGATATGTAGAAAAATAGGAAAGAACACATCAGGCAAATAATCCGGAGTTCTTTAGTATTTTGTTTTTATTTTTTAAAAACAGTGCTCCATACAGAAGTAGGGCTTAAATTATAATTATTTCTTAAAAAAATATGATTCATTCGCTACATAAGAGTTCTCATGTTTCAAAAACGATAGCCGAAACCCTCATTCCTAAATTTTCGCTTGAGGATGAAGCAGGGCTTGATACTTTAATTCAATTTAATTTTAATAATTATATTGAGGGTTTCGGCTCTCGTTTCTGAAACATGAGAACTCTTATGTAGCGAAGGAATCGTATTTTTTGAAAAAAATAATTATATATATTGAACTTGTGTATGTGTGCGAGAGTGTATGTGTGTGTGTGTGATAAGAATCTAGTTTGAAGATATGGTATATGCTATATTTATGGATAAAAGTTCTCAATATCAGAGATAGGGCATATGGAAATATAAATGTGGACACCGAGGTCAACACCGAGCGGTGAAAATCTGTTTCATGCTTAAACGCATATTCAGACGCATGGTCTGAAGATTGTGTATATCTTTCTATCTATCTATATATATCCACACACACACATACGCATATATATATATATATATATATATATATATATATATATATATATATATATATATATATATATATATATATATATATATATAATAATTAAATTAGTTTGTCACTGAGCTGATTGATGTTGGCTTCAGCATCTCGTCTCCAGACATTCGTAGGCGGACCTGTCCGTCCACTTTTCAAGGTGTATCAGCAATATTACTTGCTCTTCGATGGGTTCTGTAGCCGAGTCAGTCTAAAGAACTTCGTAACTTTCTTTTGCCAAAGGGAACGCAGGTTCGAATCTTGCCGGAGAGAGCTCATTTTACTTTTATAAGATTTCCCGAATATTCAGGCCGGTAAATAAAAATAAATAGATATACTGTCTAATAATCAAACAGAGTGTCTGCTCAAATATGGCTATATACTAAAAATAACATTTTATTTTATATATATATATATATATATATATATATATATATATATATATATATATATATATATATATATGATGGGTTTATCATTAATTGCTAAACAATTTAATGAAAGACATACCAACGACTTACTACCATTTAAATATAAAATATATACGAATAGCTTTGTCTCATAATATACTGTAATTATCCAGCTTGTGGATAGTTATCTCTATCTATAAAAGGCATGATGTGTGTGTGTGTGTAACGAATGCACGGTCGCAATTTTTGACGGATTTGCACCAAAATTTACATGGACATGCTCCAAGTTAGCGGGAAAGGACAAGACCGACTTTGCATTTCCCAACTCCTATCGATAGTGGAAATAATTGATTCTTTCATGCTTCTACGGCAATTTTCATGTAGTTTGCGGCCATTTTCTACTGGCCAGAGTGAGAGCCAATAGCTGGCTGCCACGAATAGGCAGGAAGATTCTACTGGCCAGCGTGAGAGCCAACAGCTGACTGACACGAATGTTAACTAGCATGTTATCATGCAAATAAAAAAAAAGTCGATAGCTGATTTCGTCACAAATGGGAAAAAAATTAAATCTGTATGGCACTTTACTCCAATTGGCTCATTCGCCTGCTTAAACTCAACGTTGATTCTGATTCCTTAGAACTGGGTTGGGCGTGAAAAAGTATTTGTTGTTTACATTCTTTTTTCATTCGGTTTCTCCAGTTACGAGTCCGTTTTTAAAGATGATTGTTTTGTGTTCATTTTGTTTAGTTCTTTTTTCGTAACAGATTTAATGTTTAGTATAGAGCTTAGAAAAAATTCGCAGTGTGAGATAGGCAAGAAGTAAGGCATGTAGCAACATCAGCACGGCAAAGGGCACTCCTTTAAAGGCAAGGAAGGGTAAAAATATTTTTAAATCAAGTGATAGCGATTGCTGTATGAGTCGTACGATTTTTGAATCAAGCACGGTCAACGCCGGGCTATGCTGCTAGTAGGAACTAAAAATGAAACCGGCAACACCTGTAACAGGTTTGATGCTAGTGTTGTTAATGTAAGTTACCCCCGTTATTACATGTATTTGTACTTGATAGAGAATTCCTTTTCTCTTTTTTTTATACTGAAAATGAAATGAATAAAACGTACAACAATAAGAAACAACAACGAGACATTGAGGCACCTATTAACATTAATGACAAGAATGAGTATTTTTCTTTTCGTGGTGTAATTACAATATTGGTATTGTGTGTGTTAAAAATGTTCTCCGTGTTACTGTCTCTTTTGTTTCTTTAAAAGATTGTGCTTACTCGTTTTTGCTTGTTACCGAGCACTTCGTTGTTAAGTGTAGCGTTTGAGACCGTTAACTGTGGATTTTTACCGAGCGAAGAATATACGTCTATATTGTTCTTTTTACTACCGCTGGTCATTTTACAATATTGGTATTATGTATATTAAAAATGTTCCCAGCGTTATTGTTTCTTTTGTTTCATTAACAGTTAGTGCTTACTTGTTTTAGGTTGTTCCAAGAATTTCGTTGTTAAGGGTAGCGTTTGAGACCAATAATTGTGGATTTTTACGTAGTGAAGAAGATATGTCTGTGTTGTTCTTTTTACAACTGCTACTTTATTTTACTCTACTCACTGACCCAACTATACTCTACTGTATTTTTTTTTGTGGTGGGAAGTGTCGTTTTTATAATAATGAAGTTTCTGATTTTAGAATGATGAAATATTTGATATTTATTTCCAGAATGATGAAATATCCTCATCATATATCATCACTGGTAAAAGGTCGTATTTAGAATGATGAAATTTCAGGTCTTTATTTCCAGGATGATGAAATATCCTTATCATCAATCACTGGTGGAAAGATTGTTTTTAGAATGATGAAATATCATCATCATCATTCTGGATCATCACAAACCGTTAGTAGAATGGTATATAAACAAATGAAGTTAAAGAAAAAAGCGAGACAGAAACTGAAGTCTATGTCTGGAGGGGAAGCTAAAACTTTAAGAATTTAAGGAACTGAATAATAAACAAAAATTGACAAAGTGTCGTGACGCTGACGCACTCTATTTCAAAAACAGGAAGAGATCGGGAGAGTTATTAATAAACAGCCACCTACCCAATTTTAAAAATCGCTAAGTATAGAATTGCGCTGTTAGAGGTTTTAAATATTTTTATATATTGTGCAATTAAGCGAAACTTCTCTTCTCATAGTTCTCCCGGAAAGCGCACATTTTTTTAAAATAAGGTTTCTCGAACTTTCAGGCCGGTAGACGAAAATAAATATACTGTTTAATAAACAAACGGAACGTCTACTCAGATACGAGTATCAACTAAAAGTAACGTTAAAATTGATAAGATATATCATTAACTTTACTAATCTACTTTTGGTATGAATAATTCATTGTAATATAAAATGAACTGCACCATATATTTGATTTAAAAGAACTGATGCGACATGCAAATTTTCGGGATAACAACCGAGACATTACTCTATTTATTGAAGAATTTAGTTCATGCCACATTGACTGATAAACTCAAATTAGCATATTAGTAAAAAAACGCACTCTCTTAAATTTTCAAAAAAATTCAACCTTAGCGTTGCGACTGCACGCTACAAAA